GTCAGTCATTTTGTTGAGCGCCAGCGTTTATTATAAGTGTATGTATTCGGCTTGCTATAGGTCCAAACAAATGATTCTGCCAAAGCTAAAAATAGCCCTCAACCAATATACTGCAAGTTATGTGAACCCTAAAATTAGTAGAATATGGTGCTACTATGTCAAAGTAAGCGAATAAACTGACTTGAAGTTGAAGGCACAAATAGTACACGGATGAAGAGAGACAATACACATGGAGCTTCATTGTCTTTCTTCGGCCGTGTCGTATTCGCGCCTTAAACTTCAAGTATATGTTAAACCAACAAGCACAGTCTACCATTCTTACATCAAATAAACTAAATAACGTTGCATGCTGGGCAACCGGACAGGGGACGAAAAAAGGCAGAAAACAGGTGACGTCCTCACCTGCGATACTGCCACACCGGCTCTCATTGTCAGGTCATAAAATACTGAACGCTGTACTCGGGTTTGGTCAAATGCTTTAGCGCTAAGAAAAGGTCACACAATCATTGCAGTGAAAAGGAGTACTTCCCGTCCCAAAGCTACAAACATTGTACATTAATTGTTCATATATTATTTATTGTTTTTTTATGGCGACGTAGAGTTGCCCTTATAAGGCACTTCAGCAACCTTTGAATATATGGTGAATGAGCGCGTTATAATCTCCCGGCGTTTCCTGTCCTTGCAGAACAATTGGTGACGTTGGCTGTTGGTTCAGGTGACGTCAAAATAACATGGGCTCTTAACTGGCCGATATACGCGAGATATTTGGTGTGAATGGTCCACTTATAGGTGACAAATCTCGACAGACATCTCGCGTGTATATGAACCAGTCCAGGCATGCATGCAATTGCACGCCCATTCTTCCTCTTCTCGCATGACAATTGGGTGCAATAGAGTGATTTCACCATTTTCTACGTTTGCGACTGCGCAAGGGCAGATAGAAGCGTGTAATCGAAAAGCGAAAACAACTGACTGGCATTACACGCGTTTTGTTAATAAGTGACCAGGAGGAGATAGCCCTCGTAGGAAGGGCGCACCGAGAAAGAAACCATACGTGCGCTGTTAGACCAGTCAGGATGGCTAATTGAGCGATTTCGTGGTTCATGATTGCTTGAAATACGGACGCGTAAAATAGACAAGGACTATCCAAAACACGGACAAGCGCTTACTGCCAACTGACAGTTTAAACGGAAAGCTGTGACAAGTATACACTGACAGATGAAAGTTTCGTAAGGGCATGCGATAAGAGCACACCACAAACCAAACATATTCAAATCAATAAAAGCTGTATGTTAGCCACCCCTTACCAAAGCCCATTTTGCCTTACAGCGCTTTCTTAACGCGTATACATGGCACCTGACACTGTCAAAAAAAAAACGCAAGTTTCTTATCGGACTGAGCTATTGACGGTATGCTCACGATCTTAGTCGAGTTGTCCCGCGCTATGCTTACAGCTTCAACGATAATCATTGTAGGCTTATCTTTGTGTTTATAAACAAATATGTGCTGTCAAACTGAACTTCGCGTCCACTTGTGCTGACATGTTGGGCTAATATTTTGTACAAAGTGCAGTGCCGCATGAAATATATTCATATTCTTATCGTGTAGGGTTCACTCGCACCTATATACCTTATATGTATTGTTTACAGACACTCTAGAAATTAAAATAGGGCAAGAAATTCACCGAAAAAGAACATTCACAAGGTGCTATGTCTCGCCATCTCAATTATTTCTTCACTTTGCAGCTTTCGCTTTCAGGATTTACAACTCAGCCTTACTCAACGAAACCTTTCACGACATGTCTCAAAGCAGGGTCCATGTCTGACTTTGGCAGCCCATCCTGCGAAGCAGAATACAAGGTTAACTAAGGAAACGGGAGTGGCGCTTTGGAACGAGGCTCAAATATTTGCAAGCTAATCTTGGTTACAGTAGTACCACATGTTCCGGACGCGTCGGTCGCCGTGGTATACGAGTTTTCCAATAACCTCGCGAGCCATCAACGTCGACGCCCGCTTGTCCCTCTGACGTTTATATTGCGCAGCGTTTCGTTCTTGATGAAACTGTGGCACGCCTTCCGCGCTGACAGTCTTGGCGATGCCCGAGGGCTCGACGTCGGCGATGCACGTGGAACCGTTTACGCCTCTGGACATGCCTCGTCGTTGGACACCTTAATTATTTATTTTTATTTTCTCCTGTCACCATCGTTACTGTCTAGGCGAAGGACACACATGCGCGCACATACGCATACACATACATGCGTGGCAAGCAAAATGCCGTTGACTATGAAACTTGCACACAACAACTTATAGTCTCAACGCAGCTCAGACAAGTGCAGATCTGTTTTCATCTGCTACTCGACTGTTCCTTGAAACGAAAAAGACGCTCTTAGCAGTAACGCAAGTGAACATGGACAAAAGAGTAGAACATGGGCACGCCGAAAAAAGGAAATTTAAGAAGCTCGACTCTAAGCCCATTGAAGCCTACCGAAATCTGTCAGTGCGTGCGAGAAGAGCGCGACGTCGGGGATGCACTACTCTGTCCAAGCTGTTTTTGTATTAGCGCAGTGCAGATTTATTACCCTACGCTTTTACTGCTCGAGGTTAAAAGAAGGTTATGACAAGTAAAAATAAAGTGACTCAATGCCAGTTCATACGATCTGAGCCTGTCAAAGAATACAAAATAGCATTAGCTGACTCGATGTTGTTGAAGTAGAAATAAGATTGATACAAGTTGGATTTTCTGAAGTTTGATTTGTCCAATACCTCACTTATTGATAACCTTATTCACCAAAGGTTTACTGTTGCTGAGACTTTCATATTTCTCAAAGTTTGGTATCGCCCGGCGTTTGAGTTTATGTGACGTTTGTGTTAGCCTGGTTTTTGAGTTCGTCAAAAATATAGGCGTAATCTCAAATCGTGCTTTCCGACCTCTGTGGCAACGTGCATGCCTAAAGGAAGCTAGTGTGAATAGCAAATGAACTACTGCGTGCGCACGACTTGCATTGTATATCCGAGATGAACATACCACGCAATCGCTTATAGTATTACGCAATAAATTCAGTGTGAACAGCTAGTGACAAAACTCCTAAGCAAGAGTTTTATGGCAAGTGCGAATAAATTCTCTGTTGCACGGAGGGTCTCATATTCCGCTGGACGGAAAACAAACGAAAGCAAAAACAGGAAGCCGATTTGCCTAACCGGTATGCTACTCTACACAGGAAAAGAGAATGGAGGATACATAAATAAGAATAAAGAACTGAACCATGATGAGCACACCCACACATAATACCCCACAGAGCAGAGCAGCAGTCTTGTGCTGTATGTGGCGTCGTCACGAGTCTATAGCAGCTCGTTCAAGCCTGTTATCCTGCAGAATTTCAGCAATCACTTAGTTGTTTTATTTGTGGAGGACCTTCTGCAATTACAATGGACGATATTCACTAGCGACCACAGTCTATTGTTCAAGCGAACAAGAGCGATTGCGAGTGAACGTCTGCAGGTCACAAAGACTGCTGCAGGGAGAGACCTCCAATGCAGGTCTTTGGTCTCGGGCCATTCAAGAATTGAGGTTTCTCGGAAGCCTTATGCATTGGACACTTCTGCGTCCAATGTAACTATATTAACACGCAATATGGAAGAGACCCAGCTGTGTCCCATGCCCCATTAGTATAGGCTCACAACGATCTGTTGGAAATTGCGCATGAGCTAATTCGAGATCTTATGGGATTACTGATGCAAGGAGTGTGCATCATGCGGGGTTTAGACCGCCGTAATATGCGCCCGCTGTGTCGCCGTACCGAGTCTCACTGTTAAGCACAATGCCGAGGTTACATTCCCGGCCAGGAAGGCCGCATTTCAGTGGTAATGAAGTTCAGTACGCCCATGCATTTATATTGGCATGCGTACTAAGATACTGCCCAGTGAACAATGATTGGTCGAAATAATTCGGATTCACGCGTAAAATAATCTTGTATCACTTTTGGCCAGGAAAGGGCCAGAATTCAATGCGAAATGTTTACGAGGGTGTCCCACATGCACCTCGTGCAGGCATCGAGGTGGCGTGGGTGCCGGTTCGTACGCCAGTAGCAGCCGTCGGGCGGTGGACCGCCGCTTCCTGTCAGTGTACATGGTGCTGGTGTTCCTGCTGCTGTTCGGATGCCTGTTCCTCACGCAGCTCGTGTCGGACGCGCCCAACAGGGGGCTCGACCCTCTGGAACCAGGCATCCTAGACAGCCTCTTCCAGGTGAAGGCCTCCTCATGGAATACAACGCTGCTGTTTAGTTTATGTAATTCATCACTTTGTTGAAACACACCGGGAGCTAGAAGAAGTTTCAGAAATGACTTCGATATTTATTTTCATAGCGCTATTCTTATACTCTATTGTGGGATATCAGGCAAATATAATAGGCGTTCGAAAGGGAGATGTGACAGTCACGCATGCTTAGCCGAAATGCCAAGGATGGCGTAAATCTTTTGATGTGACCACAAAATCTGCACTAAATAGTGCTGCTTCGTTGCAGTTAAAATTGTCCAAATATGCTAGAAACTATTATTGCCAACTATCATTTGGAAAACCTATGCATTCCTTAATAAGTACTGGGATCGTTTTTTTCGTAGACGAATACCTCACTCTACAGTGAAGATCTGTTCACGTTTTTTAAAGGCGAAGTATTTACACTAATAAGCAAAACTGCAGCCTTCTACGTTTTGGGACGTTAAGCCCCACATATCGATCAATCAAACACCAGTGAGCAAAAGAACCCCGTGAGCGCGTGCCGAAGTTACTCTCTGCGTCCTCATGTCGCAAGCCATTCTTTGTCAGAATTCGCCAGAGAAATCTGGCGAATTCCGTTATTATCTCGCCTTTCAACTGCTCGACACTAGTCGACGCAGGTGGTAAACGCTTACGCACGGTAATGGTCTGTATGATTTCGCTCGCGTGTGTACGGAAGAAACAAGTGAACTGGAACCACTTTCCACCCGTCCTCTAGAGGGGTTTTTCCGTTAAGCGAGGAACCAGTTCTATCCGTCTGAACAGAGGCTGTAGAGAAAAATGGTGCCCCACTTTCTCACTGTCCATCCTCTCGTAGTCTGTGGACGACAGCCACCGCGGAGACTCCAACCTGTTCCCGAGTGGCGGCTCCGACGGCGGCGGAAGTGACCTCCCGGGCGACGTCAACATGAGCACGCTCGTGGAGCTCGCCGAGACCCGGGGCGACCGCTGGCAGCGGGTGCGGCGAACCAACGACCGCTTCTACGTCTTCTCGGCCTACCTGGACGCGCGCCGGGTGCGCATGGTCCGGGTGATCGCGGCGGCGCGAACGCGGCTGACGGACCGCGTCGTGTGCCGCCTCTTCTGGCGCGTGGTGGGCGGCGAGGATGACGGCGCCTTCCAGTCGGCCACCGTGCTCGCCTCCAACAAGCTGATCCGCGAGAACTGGAACCTCCGCTACAGCGCCTTCTTCCTGCTCTGCCCTCTGCCGGCCGGCGTGACCGGGGAGGTGCCCTTGTGGGTGGCCGTGCAGCGCCTCAACGACCGCAGCATGCCGCGCAACCTGATGGCCGTCCACCGCAAGGACGAGGACTACGACAACCGGCTGCCCGAGGACCGCGAACTCGCCGTCTGCGTCAAGCCCATCCACTACGAGTACAACAAGGTACGTGCTGCGTCATGCCCATCCACCGCGAGTACGAGGTAATATCATCAGCTAAAGTATGCGGGACGTTGCATCCACAACAAATGCGAATTTCTGCTATATCAGTGCTGAATGCTTGTAATCGAAATGATGACTGCATAGGTCAGAGTGCCAAGTGGAGCATGAAACATTTATTTCAGAATTACATTTCCAGACAGAAGTGGCAATTTAGCTTTATCGAACACTTCGGGTTCCGCAAATGTTTGCTGCTTACAGTACATTTGCGCTGATAGCTTAGCAAAAAAAAAACAACTCACTCAAACTCGCTCAAGAAGTATATCCTGTGCTCTGGACTCAACCGGACGCACTCACCAAAATTTTCCCGGCCTGAGCTCACTCGGACGCACTCGGCGCGTTTCGTTTTGTCTGGCGACATCGCACTAATTCGTTTTTTATTCGCTGCGCTGTGTAGTCTGGCGCTCCAGTTTGAAAAACCACTGCCACGACCGCCGGATAAAAAAATTACCCCGTATCTCCATGTTTCACTGCAAATGTCGTCGAAACACGATAGTCTTCCGTGTGGAGATAGTGAACAAAACGTTTATTTGATGTTTTGCGCGACAGAATTGGTGAATTGTATTGTTAGTCTCGATCCGTGCAGCGAAGGCGAACGAGCGCATCGACGCACGGTAGACACGAGCGCTATATGCCAATTATTTTCGGAAAGAAAGGAAGGCGTGCGTGCCCACGAGGAAGATGCGCGCCTGTCTCGGAGGCGATAAGGTGTAGAACGCAAAGCGACGGGCAGGTGCCGCCACCATGTCATCTCAGCAAAACGTTGGAAACACTTGCCTTTTTGACTATCGCGTTCCATTGTCAGCGCAGCGTGATTAACGCTATGGTCCTTAGAATTACTTGTGTGTGCCTTCTCTAGTATAAAGACACACATACAAAATATTGACGTGTTGTTATGATGCCTCCGATATGTGTAATAATTGCTTTTTAATTGACAATTGCACAAGTATGAACGCAGGAACTTGAGCAATATTGGTAGGCGCTGCGGGTGGGGTTGGCCAATAGGGGCATCACTTGGTGCTATTTGGGGTATCGTTTAGCTTCTCTTATTCAGCAACATAGTTATGTTTGTCGTGGCTCACAGATGTGCCAAAGTGTATGTGCGCCGTTGACGTTCCTCGTGTACTTCGTCTTGCCATGGCGCCTTCCACGTCATGGAGGCCTTCGAAGGCACAGGCCTTCGACGTAGTTAGCCCTGCGGGGACTAGTACGGAGACCGTCGTCGACACGACGGCCTCTCAAAAGTTTCCTCTCAGAGGTACATTGCGTTGAGCACATGGGAGCATGAACTTCCTTCAAAGTAACTGCCAAGAGCATGGCTTTCATGACTTTCATCGTCAACGCTGGCTACCTGACCATCGGCAGCGAGCGTATTCCTGTCGTTCCTGTCGGCCCACAGGTAACTAACGTTCCTTGAGACGCACCATAGACGCCACCGGGAGCAGCCGCGTTTCGCGAGCGCTCCGGCAAAACTCCTGTTTCTGACTTCTAGGTCATTCAATTGCTACTTGAACAAATGTGAAGCTTTCTACGGAATCGACCGCATCATCTGAAGTGATTTCAAGTGAGTGCTTTGCAGTTCGCATCCACGAAGATTGGCTTTTTGGCAGCGTTCGACTACCTCGGTGGGCCTACCGGCTAGGCCTACCAGCTAGGCCTACCAATGTGGTCATCTACGAAACAGTGGGAGAGGAGCTTCCCTCCGCCGAAGCTCTTGACGATGATGAAGGCAGCTGGCATCACGTGTATGCCAGGGCCCGAAATCCCGCTTCATCCCCGAAGAAATCGACGCCTGACATCAACACTTCGCAAGAAGAGTCACAGAAAGCTCTCCCATCAACTCGTCGCACTGCCCCCAGACCCCCTCCACTTTCAGCGGACGACTACAAAATAGTTCTGTGAATACGTGGAGGCCTCAGCTGTGCTGACACTCCACTTCCGAAGCTCATTTATTCCGCCCTAAAAGCGGCAGCGCTCACAAGCTCCCTACATGACCAATACCGCATCAACTCTGTAAGCAACATTCTGCTCATAAGCACCCCGGACTCGGCACGCACCGAAGCATACCACCGTATCAAATCCATCAAGATGGACGAGCGCCGCTTTGATGTGGTCCCCCACATTACCGATCCATTGAATACCTGCCGAGGAGTCATTCGTAATATTCCTATAGAAGACACATCTGAAACCATCTTGTCAAGTCTGTTGGACTATGACAGACTAGGCCTCATCCTGACAGGACGTCGCATGGGTTCCACAACATCCATCTTGGTCACCTTCAGAGGTACGCGCGTGCCTTTCTACATAAGTTATCAGGGTGGCATCACCAGATGCGTACCCTATCGTCATAAGACGGAAGCCTGTAATCTCTGCCGCAAGCTTGGCCACAGACCAGACGTATGCCCATGCACCCCTCAGCTTTTATGTCCAAGGTGTGGCATTCCGAACCCACTCCTTGATCACGAATGTGAACCTAAGTGTGTGGTGTGCAACTGTGACCACCCCACCGGCTCGCCCCAGTGCCCACAGCTCTACAAGTCCAACCCAAAGCACGCACCCTCAACTTTTCAGCAAGATGCAGCTCCATTTCTCGACTCAAGCCCATCTTTCAGGAACGCTCCTAGAGGATGCTCACCCAGTATCACAAGACAGCAAAGCCGAAAAAGCCGCAGCCGAAGCCGCAACAAAAGCATTCACCAAGACCCCAGCCCTCGGACTGGCCCTCGGACTGGCCCTCGGACTGGCCCTCGGACTGGCCCTCGGACTGGCCCTGGCCACGAGGTGAGCTGGGCTGATGTAGCCTCCCCTGAAAGCTCCATTCAAAAGCAGCTCAAACTATTGCAGGATGAGATGGCTAAATTAAGGGCAGAAAATGCAAAACTACGCCTAGAGCTTCAGTCCTTCAAACAACCATCTACCTCCCCACACCTCCGCATCTCATCTTTTACCCCTACGCCTATTGCATCAGCACCAGCTCCTCTCTGAACCACCCCTATAGCTAGGCACCCCGCTCAACCATCTGCGCAAAAACGAAAAGTCTCGACTCCCACATTGTCATTCGATGAGCGAGTAGACCAAGTCGAAGCGAAACTAGAGAAGGTTGACAAAGAGAAAGAAAAAGTAACCAAACTTGAGGAAAAATTAGACAATTTTATTACCTTCTCCGCAGGTTCCTTGCAGAAGCTACACGAATCCATGGCCTCGATACAACAAACCATGTTACAGATGCAACAAACCCTAGATAGAGTCACGCAGTGGATCGACACGGTCCACGCTAACCATCCAGAGCTTGCCCAACATAGGCCAAATCAACTTAGCGAAAATTGCTCCTCGTAACCACACTGAACTTTGCGTATGGCAATGAAACTGCAGGGGGTTTCGCTGAAAAAAGGCAAACCTCCTGCAGTACATCAAATCACAAACTACCCCTCCCCCAATCATTGAGTTACAAGAAACAAATGGTGTAGTGCAGCTGCCGGGTTATAGAACGCATCAAAACCCGGCTGATGCCAAACCATGCACTGCTGTCTTAACTCAGAAGCACCTCACAGTTACCTATTCAAAATTTGCTGATATTTACATTGAACACGACTTTCTCCAAATACTACCTGATAAACTAACTCACCATTCTTTGACATTCTTAACGTATATAGTAGACCACAAGAGCAAATTTAGGCACCGCTTCGATTCCCTATTTGCCCAAGCTACATCCTCGGCAGGCAAACACACCCTCCTCATAGTGGGGGATTTCAACGCCTCTCACCCAGCGTGGGGTTACACCGCATCTACACCGAAAGGTGGAGCTCTCTGGTCCCATATTCAAGCACATCGTTTTACGCTGCACAACGACCCGGAGGAGCCTTCTCGTTTGGGGAACAGTGTGAACAAAGATACATCCCCCGATCTTACCCTCACTCACAATGCCCCCACAATGGTTTGGACTAACACCCAAACTAATCTTGGCAGTGATCATTGCATTATTAGCATTACTTTACTACTAAAACAGAGACCCATAGAACCTAAACCACTGATGCTCATAGAATGGGACAAATTTAGAGAGACCCGCAACAGCACCACTCCCGCACGTATTGCAGACCTTACCGAGTGGACTCAACAGCTTCAAAAAGATGTTGAAATTCACACGAGAACTCTACCCCCCCGACACCCCAATAACTACTCTCGTTTCCAAGCTTCTCCATATGTGGGAAGCAAAACAGTCACTTCTGCGACGGTGGAAACACCAGCGCCACAACAGGAAACTCCGCATTAGGATGGCGAAGCGAGACAACAAATCGAGTGATACACGACTCAATTGGCGGCACAACAATGAGGTCAGTTTTGTGAAGGAATGCATGACCACCTTAGTAATAAACGAACGTGGCAACTTCTTAGGCATCTGCTAGACCCCAGCAGTTCTCGCGCACGACACCCTCACGCTATCACTAAACTGTTACACGAGCACAGTGACCATTTAGGACAGCTCTTCGATAGCCTCCGCACGTTGCATTTACGTCAATTACGTAAGGATTCTAACCATCTTACAAAGAGAAACCTAATGAGTCATTAGATGCGCCGATAATGGAAGCGGAAGTTAGGCACGCCCTCGCAACACTCCGTACCACGTCGGCTTCAGGCCCAGACCGCGTTAACAACAAATTACTTAGACATCTTGACCCTATTTCTATTAGAGCTTTGACTGAGTACTTTAACGAATGTTTTGACACGGGTACCCTTCCACCTTCGTGGAAAGATGCCAGAGTCCTATTTATACCTAAACCGAACAAAGCTCCTTTGGTAGAAAATCTCAGGCCCATTTCCTTAACATCGTGTCTCGGAAAGACTATGGAGCATGTTGTGCTTGCACGCCTCCAAAGACACGTGGAGGATAATGGACTACTGCCTCCAGAAATGGTTGGTTTTAGGGCCTCACTTTCAGCGCAAGATGC